TTGTCCTGAAAGGTCTGATTTAGAGGGAAACGGGCTGCAAACAGATTTCTGATGGAAAAACAAAGTGTTTAGTGCTGCCAGCTCCTGACACGATGAACGTCACAGCTAGATTACATTTTACTGAAAGCATAAAACTAGGGTAGAAGCACCTTTCTGGACACTGAAAATTCACCCCTCTACCTCCAGCAGTGACTCTGTTTGAACTTTGTGACTCGCTAAACGACAGAGGTTGTATGTATTGACTAAATATTTATATATTTGTAGCACAATCTGGACTGCTTACAAAACTTTGAAAGTAGAACCAAGACAAAACATGAATTACTGCTGTGTTCAGGTAGTACCGTTTTTTAGCTAAAAGTAGTTATTACAAAAAGATGATGTTGCTGGCTGTGACTAAGTAACCTCTGTCACTACAGAGTAGGGTCCTGCTGCGGTGCTGAGTACATGGCTCCCCCAAAGGCTGTCACCCACCCCCCCTTTGCCATGTTCCCACTGCTCTTGCCCGATGCTGTGCCTTTGGTCAGGCCAGGAAGGAACGAGGAAAGGTCTTTGGATGAGCGCTGGGTTGTAGCTACATTTCTGGGCCACCCCTGGTCCTGGTTGACTTGTGCTGGCCTGGTGGCCGCTCGGGCTGGCTGCGCTGGCACGTGTTGCATCTGAAAGGCTGCTATTTTGGTTGGCAGGGTGAATATTTAATTCAGATTGCTGGTGGGAGCATTGCTTTCCCAGGGACTTTGTAGCATCCTGTCTCAAGAGTTAGTACTTCATGGTGGCATTTTTTTGTTCTAAAATTCTCAACATCAGACTAAATTTAGTCACATAGAAATCAATAAATTACTGCCAACTTTGACCCAACTCTGCCCTTATGTTAATGTTAAATGTTTTTGAACAATCTGACTCGTGGTATTCAGGCTCTTCTCCTCTTTAGCCGGGAATGACATGATGAGAAACTTTCCACTGCTTTAAATGTTAAGGAATCTCTGAAAATATTTAGAAACAATCGATTCAAAATGTTTTATGGTTTGGGGTTTGATTCCTTTTTTTTTTTTTTTCGAAGTACAGTATGTTCTTTTTGCAGATTTCCATCCAATCTACATGCTCATGTCCCAGTGGTTCGTTTCCATGGTGCATGTGGATTCCTATCACAGGGTACGTCCAGTGACGTGTGTGTATGAGAGGCAGATCTTGGTGGAGAATTTTGAGTAATCTTCTCAGGGCAGCTGAAAACGAGCCGTTTGTCTGTCAGAGCAGAGAAAAGCAACAGTTCAGTAAGGAGTGCTGGAGCACCATGTGGGAACAAGCACTTTTTACATTATTAAGTTGTGCAGAACCAGCTGGGAACTATGTGAAACTCCACTGAAATATTTTCTTTGTCTCAACAGTACGTGTGCAAATAAGTAGCTTTTGGCGATTTGCTTCGTGTCGGGCCCCTCCACCTCCTGCTAAGCTGTTCTCTACGTTTCTCTCTGCTAACAGAACCGGGCAATGAGCTTACAGAAATGCAGGTTGGTACCTACTGGCGTTTAAGTGAATATTTCAGAGGGTTGGGAGGAGCGTGTATGTTCTCTGTCTTAGTGTTCTGTGTATAATAACAAGTGGTAACTTGGCAGTTCAGCAAAATAATCCAGTTTAGAACTGCTGCACCAAAGCCCAAAGTGCCGATAAACCAGCGGGAAGCATTCCTGGGGAGAAGGATAACTGTCCTCTCCCTGCAGGAGCTGTGGGTTTAAATCTGCTCCCTGGGACACATCATGCTCGAGCAGGAGGGAGCCTTTTTCCTGACAGACCCTCCCGGCAGCCGGGTACAGCTGGGGGGTGTGAGAGGCTTCCCAGTGCCTCCCCCCGTGGGGAAAACACTCACCAACAACCACACTCCTTTAGCCACCGAGGCCGGGGGGCACAGAGCTCCCACTGACCTGTCCTTAGTCTAAGCAGCTTTTTGACCAGCAGCAGCCTGTATGGATGGTGCTCAGCCATAAACTCCCTGCCCTTCGCTATTCATCAGTCTACCAAAATAAAGAAATAAGCCTGTTGCTGTGGTAATGAGAGCCCTGTGTCCGTTCCTGGGGGGGATGCGTTAATTGCCAACCAATGCGCTCATGTCAGAAAGTGCGTGGACCTGGAAGGAGATCTGTAGAACGCGTCAGGGAAGAGAAAGAACAGAAAATTGAAAAAGAACAGTAAGAGGTTGGTACATTACATTTTCACAGCTTACAGAGAAAGCAGAAGAAATGGATTCCTTAAGGTGAAAAGAATAGGCACTTAATTGGCAATGAAATTATTCTGTAAATTCTAGCACTTCTGGCAAGTGTCAGGCAGTAATCAGACCCATTCAAATACATAAATTCAGGGAGGCATAAAGCCAGCAGAGACCATTATACTCCTTTCTTCTGACCTTCTCCATCATGTGGGTCATGGAGTACCTTTCATGTATAAATGTGTGAATTATTGAGTGCCAGGTCATGGAGCTTGAATTTATTTTATGATTCAAAAATCAGAGTAGCACAAATCAGGAGTAACCATGGAAATTACACTGCTACAAAACCCCATCTTACAGGAGAAGCCAGGTGTGTGCGGGCATGGTTCCAGGTAACAGCACACTGGAGTCACCAGCAGCTACAAAAGGGAGGTGCTTACAACAGACCTGTGAAATGAAGGAGGCAAAGCGAGGGATTATTGTTCTGCAGACTAATATGTGAAATAGTCATGTACATATTGTGTGTGTAAAAATCTCTGCTACAACGAATTTAATCAGCATGAATATTCATAGAATCATAGAATTTCTGGGTTGGAAGGGACCTTTCAGATCATCTAGTCCAACCATCAACCCAACTCTGATAAAACCCATCACTAACCCATGTCTCCGAGCACTATGTCAACCCGGCTTTTGAATCCCTCCAGGGATGGTGCCTCAACCCCTTCCCTGGGCAGCCCATTCCAAGGCTTGATAACCCTTTCCATGTAAAAATTTTTCCTAATATCCAATTTGAACCTCCCCTGGCACAACTTGAGGCCATTTCCTCTTGTCCCATCGCCTGTTCCTTGGGAGAAGAGACCGACCCCCCCTGGCTACCCCCTCCTTTCAGGGAGATGTAGGGAGTGATGAATTTCACTGAATTTCACTGAATTTCACTGAATTTCTAGAGTTGGAAGGGACCATAGAGATCATCTAGTCCAACTCCCCTGCTGAAGCAGGATTGCCTAGAGCTAGAGCATGTTACTCAGGACTGCATCCAGGCGGTAATAGCTGTGTGCGGGGTGTGTATCAGAGCATCACCATGGGGCACCACTGAGAAGGGACCGACGTCCCTCGGTGCACACCCCGTGCCGTGGGCACTGCCCGAGCAGCGGCAGCGGAGCCTTGGGGCAGCCCTCGGAAAATGCCTGGCTTCTGGAACCTGGATTGCACCCAGACAGCGCCATTTCTGTTGCAGTTTTATCCTCCGTGACTTTGGCAATGTGCTAAGGTCCCCCAGACTGCTGGGCGGTTATTAAACCTTCTGAAACCACGCTGGCAGCACTCGGCCATCATCACCTGCCAGTTTTTCATTGTTTTTCATCCAGAAGGCCACGCATTTTTAGCCTGGATGTTGCGATGTCCCCTCTGTGGAAATCAAAGAGCCGGGTCTGGCGGTGCCCAGGACAGCGGGGATGGTGATGATGCCCATTTCCACGGCAACCCAGCACAGCCCTGGGCAGGCTGAGCAGAAGGTCGTTCCCATAGCAAAGGGCTGACGCACACCTGGACAGAGACAGGCAAACAGCAGCAGGGCTGATGAGGAGGTGGGGAGGCAGGTTAATTGCAGAAGGGAGGTCAGGTAGGGACTGTTTCTCCCAATCTCATTGGCACAGCATCCAAGATGTTTTTTAAATGAATGTCTCTGGCAAGACCCTCACCTCTGGCTTATGGGACCACATCTCACTTGTCAGCCAAGCAAATAACTCATCGCCGGGGCTGGGAATCGTACGGTGCCACCAGCCATGGGTGGGAGGTGGATGAAGGACAGGGATGCCCCCACGCCTGTGCCATTGCAGGAATCCCTGCCCTCCCTCGCTGCCTCAGTGGGTCTGCGGCACCAGCGACTTCCACGGGTGCATTAAAAAGAGGAGCGGGAGGTACTGAAAACGCCCAGTAGATGATGTGTTCGGTGCTGGACAGTTAGTTATAGTCACCCATAGGATCTGAACATTTCCCAAGTGGGTGTTTAATGAGAACATGGAAACTGAACCATACTCCAGCGGTGCCGTTCCCCGTGTCACAAGGCCCCTCCGGCCTGGCACCTGCCCTGGGGGGTGCCATGTCCCCCACACGGCTCCCCAAGACCCGGGACGGCCGCTCTCCCCCGCCGCCGGTGACCCCGCCTCGGGCGGCAGCGCCGGGCCCCGGGCCGACCCTTCGCGCTCCGGGCAGCGAGGGGCCGCGGCCGCTGCGGGCCCGGCCTCACCCTCCCCCTGCCCAGGCCGGGCCGCCCCGGGGAAGCGGTTAGGGGCAATAGAGACGGTTGGGATTAACCGCACCGGCCCGGGCGCACGTTGACAACCGAGCGGCCCCGGCGGACACGGGCTGAGGCGTGGGCCTGGCCC